ATAACGGAAACTCTTCCGATTTAGACTTGTGAGGTATCATTGGAAAGGTATTTTCTCGCCCTTTTTATTTCTCTGCTAATAAGCACATTCAAAGTTGAATTAAGATGTGTTGGTATTTGAAAAAAAAACAATGGGACACGAATGACTTTTTTGCACATAAATAAAAATAGTGGAAAAATATATTTCTATCGAGATCCCATAAGCCTAAACCAGAATAGTTTGGCCCAGTTATTAAAGTTTTTCGTAAATCCAACTTTGAAAAAAGTAAAAAAAACAGCACCAAAAATCTCATTATTACGATTCCGTTGAAAAGATTTTTAAATATTTTTATGCAGATTTTTTAAGCCTAACCTGTTTTGTCAAGAAGTTCTTTAAGAAACTATATTTATTCATAAGAAACTGCATTTTTGAAGGTACATATTTTCAAATCGGTCCAGATTACTTAAATCTTAATATTTTTCCGAAATATTTTGGTGGACGTCTTAAAATATAATAAATTTTGTAATCCCGGCGGGAAAACCGCAACTTTTTTTGGTGATGCAGCTTAATGTAGTACATATGTATGTATTGTATGACTTCTCCCATCCACACCCTCGTGATCTCTGCTGTGAAAGTGGTAGTGGCGTGCGTTCAATCGACAGTCTAAATGAATTATGAAAATTGAATTTCCTTGGAAAATTGTGTAAATTGTAAATTGACTAGCTTTTCGCTTACTTACTTACTGACACGCCTATTAGCTACAGTGAACTTTTGTTGTTCAAACCATTCGACGAATATTCAAATAATCTAAGCATTTTTTTTCATTTAAGGCACGTTGCCTTGCAAATGTTTATGTAAAGTGGGCAATAAGATTTGTTGCGGCTGTTAAACAAATAAAATTTTTATTTTATTTTTCACATTTGCATATGAAGCAAAAATATTGCCGGTCATTAAAATTGTGCAAAACAAATTTTTATTTTTTTCTGGGTCAGGTTCTTATTATCGTTAAAGTTTCAGCTGCATCCAAGCGAAGAAAATGGATCACTCCACTTTTGCGCCGATGTTTCAAAACTAGGAGGTAAAGTCTTCGCAGCACAGTTGGGGCTTGAAAAAATCATTTCGCCTACCCGGCCACTGCAGCGTTTTTCATATGTAAGAAAATCCCCATCAACACACACAGTCAGGCAGCACCCAATGCACTTGACTTGGGCACATGCAATTCAAAAGCCGTGGCTGAGATGTATGAGCAGTTTGCTTTTTACTTGGTGTGAGTTCCGGGGCACCGGAAAATGCCAGGCAACGACAGCAAACTACCAAAATAAGGCACAACCGTTCCACTTTTGTAATTCTGGAAGCGTTTAGGCATGCCACCAGCTGTTTACAAGCTTATTCTAAGGGATCTATGTATCTCTTTACCTAGCAAGTGATATATGGAAAAGGTCTCTTCGTACTGCCAGCAGGCCATTTTGCCATCAAAGAGATTTGGGGTTCCCGATAAGGACTTATGCAGAAATGAAAAAGAGCCAGAAGAAAGCTTGCGGCACCTGTTATTGTTTAGTGGCTCCGCCGGCCTCCTGCAGTAGTTTGGCAGCTTATAGTATTTGTCGTTGCCGAGCTCCGCGACTGCTGCCCCTACGGTAGGACTTCTCATGCCCCACGCTAGCCTTCGACCTCTATAGTGGCTTCGAAGTTCGTTCTGAAGTGCAGATCCGGGATCACATAGTTAATCCGTCCAAGTATAGTTGACGCTATGGTACTGTGACCGTAAGACCTGCACACAAACTGATCAGTAGCATAAAGTCTGACGGCAGTTTTTACTGCCGTTGGTGTAGCCCTGACTTCACCTGTCATGTCGATCATTGATAGTCTATGTACACTTTGTATTCTCTTAGGAAATGGTCTCTTCTCCAACAGTGGCGGTCTGACTATCGCCGTGAAGATCCAGTGACCTACATAGCCGAAGTAGGAATACTGGAACTATTAGGTTTCGCAGACTCCACAGGATGGTTTGAGGGAAGTTTTCACAACACGCGTGGCATCAAAACGGTACCATAAATACCTAAGCTTGGTGGTGCTGATGGGTCACTGGTAGCTAATTCATCCCAACCTTACTTAATCTAGACTGATTAAGGCGCACGTCATTTTTTCTTCCTAGTTAGTTCTTCAAAGGGTTACAGAACAAAAAAGCTCATACTGTTTAATATATCGTCACTTAGTGGAAGATCAGCCTATCTAGTTCGAAAATGCGCTATCACAGAAAACTTTTTCAAGAACACCATACTTCAGAATTTGGTTGAATAACGCCCTATCTCAGAATTCGGTTTAAAAACGCCGTATCTCAGCTAAAAATATATTGAAAATGTGCTGAGATAGAGCGTTTTTGAATCGGCAGCTGAGATGGGGCGTTATTGAACCAAAATCTGAGATAGGGTATTTTTTAATAAAATTCTGAAATAGGGCGTTTTTCAATCCAATTTTGAAGTAGGGCGTTCTTGGAAAGTTTTCTGAGATAGGTCGTTTATGAACTGGCTGCCGAGATAGGTCGATCTTCCACTCAGCCATCGATATGTACTACTAGTCAAGAAAAAAGAAAGTATTTCAAGCCTGATGTGTGCCAACATCATAGCTGAAGCAATTTATTTTGTTTTCTCAAACCTACTCTACTTATTTAGTTCATGAGATTTTACATTTCAGTTTGAATTTAATTAGCGCCACTTGCTTTAACATACTTACATTTAAATTGTATGATTTATGTTTGTATGTGCATATGTATATGTACAAATCACTATGTTTGTAAATTACCGCACGTGTATTTATATTTGCTATACTTGAGATTTGTTTTGTTTCTTAAGCTGGGATTACACGATCTATACAGATTTTTACATTTTGGCAGCCACACGGTGATGTTGTCTAGAAATTTTTTCGAGAATGAGTTCAACTCATTAAAAAAATTTCCAAACAGCCCCAATCTGTAACCGTCAAGATGTACCAATCTGTACAGTTTAAAGCAGGGATCACACGACAAGTTTAAATTTTTCCACACTTCGGCAGTTTGATATCTATGTGCGATCAGACGATATGGCTACTAAATATCCAAATGAGCTGTTACAGATTTGCCCACAGCAGTAAAGTGGCAAATATTGCCACATTCATTAACCGTTTGGTAATAAAACTTAACGGGTTTGATATTTCCAAAAATCGTATTTACCAGCCGATTCAGTTTCTAGTTGAAGATTTATTTCGTTCCAAAAATTTACTCGATAGGCGGCGCTGGAGTCGAGATATTTCATTTCATAGGGCTGCCACCCATCTCAAAATTTAAAATTAATCAAGTATGCGATTGACCTATGAAAAATATCTATACATGTAATGAAATTGTAACAGGCCGATGTCTGTACATTAAAAATTGATATGGGGGTCTTTATTAGAGCAACAGAAGCCAAATCAACAATTTTTTGAAATTTTTGTCAGTCTGCCTGTATGTTTGTACGCGCATCACTCGAAAACGAATGCATGGAATTGAATGCAGTTTCACCGGGGTCTAATATAAAATATCGAAAGGAAAAAATCAGCGAGTTGCCACCTGTTTGAAAATTGCAGTTTAAGTAAATTTATAAGATAAAGTGAATATTGTAATATGGCCCCAAAAGAAAGAAATTTAAGAAGGCTTACAGCCGAAAATATTTTTTGTAGGTTGCCACCTGTTTGAAAATAACATAAAATATTTTTAAACAGGGTTGCCAACTTTCTATATGCTGTTAAATAAATGTACATATATACATATCTTTGAGTCAAATGAAATACATATAACAATAATATATCTAACGCCAGCTGTTTGAGAGAGATTTAATGTAAACATATTTTAACAGAGTTGCCACTTATTTAATTTTTAATGGAATATCTGTCAAAGCTATGATTAAATTTCGAGTCGACTTTATTTTGACTATGAAAATGCGCCAATATTTTTAGTTTAAACGATAAAAAAACAAATCACAAAATAGGTATTTCATAATGTTTACTGTATTGAATTGCCAACTTTTGTTTTTGGAAAAAAAAGAAAAATTGTACACCCACAAGCATTGGTATAGTAAGTACATATATTAGAAAGGCGTGGGCGGGTACCTGCAGTGAGTAATAAAATTAAATACATACATATAATAATATCCCAGTAGATCCCAGGGATACGATTTGCACCACATTTTTGGGTAAATGGCCGATCGTGTGACTCTGCCTTAACGAGATTCGAACCCGGGCTCCTTAAAAGCTAATCAATAATAATTAATATCTCTGCGCACTCAGCTACACCCACAACATGTAAATGTGTTTCTAAATTTTTATTTGAATCAAATTTGTTACAATCGTTCAAATAAACTTATTTTCAAGCTTGTGTAGCTCATGCCAAATAATTTGCTTAACGCGTTGCCTACTCACTTCTCGAGGGAGAGAGAGAGCATTGGAAGCACTCTGTTCGTAGTGTTGTTTGAGCTGTTCTGTAATACTTTATCAAGGGAAGGCTCTGACAAAGTTGCTTCTGGGATATGTTTCCAAATCAAACCGAAGTAATTTCCATAGGCATTTTTAATAGTAAAAGCTTTACCAAATAATTTTATGGATACATGTGTTTATTATGGTTTACGGTATTCACAGTTCGTTACAAAATGGGTTACAACATGTTCACGTCAGCATTGTAATTATTAAAATGTAACCAAAATTGAAAATAAATTTAAAACTTCACAAGCACGAAATAAATAACAAAACAGCAATTCTGCTAAACTTATACAATTTAGCGATCGCATGGTTTGTCTACGAATATGAACCATTTTTAGCCAAATGCACAAGTCGTGTGATCACAGCTTTATACTTTTGTTTGCACTTTAAGCAGAAAGGAGACCACTTTTTAACTAACTCACGCCACATACATAGAAAGCATTTAAAATTATGTAACTAATTAACAATTGTTATTCTCATGCACTTTTTTTATTTTAATCTGTTATTATTTTTGTTATTGTTTGCTTTCTTACTTTGTTTTTAAATTTTTGTTGTTTGCAAGCTGTGCACAATTAATTCACTACTTCCGATTGTGTGAATTATTTACGTGGCGAAACTCGGATCGAGGACCGAGAATAAAATTAAAATGTTTACTTAAATTTCAGCACTAAATAAATAGATCACTTCTCAAAAGCGAGTATATACAATTCGTAATTTTGTACTTCTGCGAATTTCTGGCTTTTCTTTGTACGCCTTGTAACCAAAAATTTCAAAAATAAAAAAATTCCGTGATCGCGCTCCGAACACAAATTAACCAAGTTCGCCAACACACAAACACTCTTAAGATCTATGCAACTATTTCTTAAATAGAGAAACTTGTATTTAAAAATGCAAAATTATGACTTCGAAGAAATGCGCGCCAAAAATAAGTCGCCCGTACATTAAACTGGAAAAGCATAAAGCAGTTGCTTTATTTGTTTTGCGACTAATAATGTGGAAGCACTCTTCTTAACCAGCGCGTTTAACGGCCGACTATCGACTCAGATAGATGTCCGCCAATCAGTCAGTAAGTAGGAGAAAAATCGCAGACGTTTCTTCTATACAAAAAAAAAAAATATATATATACATACATATGTTTATCGTCGTTTAAGTACAAAACCGCGTATCGTCGTTCTGCAAAACCGCGTAACTAACTTTTTTTTGCCAAAACTTGGATTTGCTCACCGAAGCGCTTGGCTCAAGCCTAATCCATTCGTCCTGAGATATGCTAGAGAGAAATGCGAATGCTTTATAAAAGAAGGACAAATTTTGAAACATGAGTCTTTTTACTCTCTACAAAATATATTATGCAATTTCACATACGCGGTTTTGCATTATCTTGACACGCGGTATGCATCGTTGCATGTTCTGAGTAAATTGAATAAGCTCAGCTTTGCCTACGTTCGTGTACATACTTGAGAGTGCCGCATATTCTTTTATATAAATATGTAAATACACATGTGTGACGTGACGCATCAGCGTAATGAAGCATTTTCTGGACTCACACGATGGTTACGGTGACCATATTTATGATAGCCGATTATGGGACATAAAAAGATTTTGCAAATTTTTTCCACAACAGCTAACAGATCTTAAAGCCTTCTTCAATGATACTAGATGTATTAGCCCTGAAACAGCATAATTTTAGTAACATCACAAATTTGTAGGATAATTTTCTCGAAATTTTTACCCCGTAAAATTTGTTAAAAAAATTCGTTAAATTTCAGTATAATAAAGTGCAATTTTAAGTCGCTAAGGCTTACCATTATTTTTGGTTTTCTTTTTCTTTTTTTGTTGGCGGTTTTACGCATTTTTTCATACAAAGTAAGTATGTTGACCATTTTTTTGAAAGAGAAGCAAATGAGTAGCGAGTGGTTTATTATACTCAATTTCAATGAATTACAAAACTTCAAACCAAATTTTTTTCTAAAGATTCTAATTAAAAAATTTGAAATTTTGGTCAAACATTGCAGAATTAATTTTTATAGTTTTTACACAATGTTGGAAATTTGGTATTATATGGTTTTTGTTAGGAAAAGAGCTTTACTTTCATAAAATAAATAATAAACATTAAATAAAGTAAGGAAAAACAGCCAAAACTTACTAAAATGTTAAGTCCTAATTTCTATTTTGGTCACTGTATGTATTCCTCGATTCCGAGTCACAGGCATTCAGATTAGAAAATACATAATAACTGTTTATGGAGAAAATTACGATCATATACAACATCACTTAAAACTCCTTCATAGGCATGCCATTTTAATGAGCTGTTAAGGCGTCGAAACACCGAATACGGGACAAATACAGGGCATTAAAAGAAATACAGAACATTTGGCGTCCCGTATAAAATGAATAAATTACCAGGACAATGGGCCAAAAAAGAGGACTGGCCCCTATAATACAGGACGGATGGTCACCGTAACAATGGTTGATGTATTATTGTTTGACTTATTAGTAGTTACACTTTGTGTGTATCAATGAAATCCATGCATAAGCATTTGTTTTTGTATAAGGTGTTATTTGTTTTATACATGAATAGCAGAGGAAATTTTTCAACTAAAATAATACCACCATTTTTGGGTTTTTCGAAGTTTTCAAGGCTTTTTCCAGTTTAAGCGAAACCGCTTAATAGTTTCAAAATTATATCCTAGGCTATTTGGTGATGTATAGTGATCATATTTGATTCCAATAAATTCAAGTTTGGCGCTTAAACGTTTTCTATGTGTTTGGCCGAGCTTCTCCTCCAATTCGTGTTCTGTTACTTGATGTTGTTACACAAATGGAGAGATCTAAACTTTTACTCCACCGGCGAAGAAGCTTTTTATGGCAGAAGTATACTCGGAGGTTCGCCATTGTTTGCCGAGGGGCGACCGCTATTTGAAAAAACTATTTTGATGTTTTGATGAAGCGTCAGAAAAAATGCTATAAATTATTACAAAAAAGTTTAAATAAAAGCAAACGTGATTTTTTCACTGAATTTTGTTTGTTTTACTTTTGATCCAAAAAACAAACTTTGAACTTATTTTTCTTAGCTATTTTATAAATAAATGCGATGTTTACTGTTAATGATTTTATTGTAATTTTCGGCCATGACTTTGTACCAACATAAGCATTTTCATTGTAAGAAAACTATGTGGAACAAAACAGGTTTATCCGGTTTTTTTCTTAATTTAAAAATCGGTAACCGGGTTTTTTCAAATTGCAATCTTTCGAATAACCCGAAATCCGGTTTTGGAAAAAGGCGAATATATAATTTAATAACCTACAGAGAATACTGTGCAGCATAGAATGTTTAAATTGGCCATTAAAACATTTAAAACTTACAAATATCCGGCATCGCCGAACTTCTGGTAGGCTTCGACCTACTGTGCCAACTGCTCATTAACATCTATGGTACATGCCTTAAGTGTTGCCACATTCCTAGAGCGTCGGCGAAGGCGTTTATTTCAAAGGGAGCATTCAAAAACACAGTGGTTTCAGATAAATAATTAAATAGAAATGCTGCTTGATGTTCTTGTTTGACAGTGTGAAAGGCTTTTCAAAACTTTCTATAAAGCTCAATGTATCTTTTTAATGCTGCTCTCGCGGTAAACCATGGATATGGAAATTTTGTTCAAAATTGTGCAAGGATAGAAAACTTAAAACAGTCATATTTCTTGACATAGCGGAGTCCTTCAATAATGTCTTTTCAAAAGCCGTCGTCAGGTTGCTCATTCAAGTGGAGTTGCATCTTCTGAGACCGCAGAATACTTGCTGTCAAGTCCTGCTCATAGAAGAACGGTTAGTTCCTAAACTATTTTTAAGGAGAGTTGCCAACTGTTTATAAACTCAAGATAAATGAATTAAAAAAATAAAAGAAATATTTGAATGGGAGGTTATAGTAAGCTTTTTTCGAAAATTTGTTTTTATGAAGAGGGATAGATTATAAAGTTATGGAATTAGTTAATATTCAAAAGTGTCAATTGAAAAGAGTTTAAGAAAGCTTTAATTCTTTATTTACGTTTTAGAAGTGGGTTGCCAATTGTTTAGAAATTAGAAACGAATTATCAAGTACAAGGAAATATTCTTATATGGGTGTCAAACGAGGCGTTTCAAAAAAGGTTAGTTTCGAAAATATGTTTAAAGAGGGCTGCCACTTATTTAGAATTTTAAATTCAAGATCAATTTAGTTAACAAGTTCAGTGAAATATTTTAATTTGATTACATCGGCAAACAATTTTCAGAGCCCAAAACCATACCATCTATTTCTTACGGATTTTTTTGCGTTATTCTAACTTCAAAATGTGGAAGCGGCCGTTTTTTGGCCAACTCGAGGGTAAATGGTTTCGAATATCAGCACAAATCTTATCTTAAAGTGCACTTCTTTACTTTAAAATCGTCTTTATTTTTTAATCGCATTCTCGGAAAGGAGGAGGTTATCAATTCGACGGAATTTATATTTTTTTAACCGTTAACCGATTTGTGGTGGTCCCATACTAATTTGACTTAGATCCGATCAATGGATCATGAACAAATTAACGGTACTCTAGAATTTTTAAGAAGCGCAAATTGACCAGCATAATTCTATAGCATTCGGTATAACAGATTGAGGGGCAGCTATAATATTTGATAGCATAACGAGAAAAATCTAGTATATACATACATGCAGTTGTCCACAAAATATTAGGAGTGTGATATTTTGACCAGTTTTGGCTATTTTTCATTTGTTTATTTGATGTTTATTATTATTATTTTTTTTTATAAAAGTCTAGCTGGTTATACAACCAATACCATATAAATTCAGATTTCCAACTTTGTACAAGAATTATAAAAATTTCGTAAATTTTCACGCAAATTTCAAATTTTATAATCAGAATCTTTAAGAAAAAATTTTGGTATGCGGTTTTGTAGCCCATATTATTCTAGTATAATGAATTGCAAGTTTCAAGCTGCTAAAAAATTACGTTGATTTTTGGCATGTTTTTTTTTTGCTGGCAGTGTTCTCCATATAAAAGAAAATTGTCGAACATACTTTGTATGGAAAAAATGTGAAACACCTTCAACCAAAAAAATTCTCAATAATCAACGAGATTTTTTAGCAACTTGGAACTTGCACTTTATTATACTAGAAACTGCAAAGATTCTGATTAAAAAGTTTGAAATTCGGGTGAAAATTTTGAAATTTTTTATATTCTTGTACAAAGTTTGAAATCTGAATTTATGTATATGGTGTTTGTTATATGTATAACCAGCTAAAGTTTTATAAAAAAAATAATAAACTTTAAATAAACAAATGACAAATAGCCAAAAATGGTCAAAATATCGCCCTCCTATTATTTTGTGGACAACTGTACATATTGGACATTTGTCTAAATATTTTTATTATTTTACCTTTGCTGCGAGAGTTATATTGCGAAGTTTTATAATTATTTATTCACTATTTCACTTCCACTCCTCGTACTATCAATACGGATGCTGATATTTGCAGCGATTAATTTGTCAAGTTTGCACAATAGACTGGATAAATTAGTCTCAATTTAAAATCTGCACGAAAAGCTCATTGAAAATAATATTTTCTTAAGAATTTCATATAGTAAATATTACGTGACAGTTTTGTAAACACGAATATAACAACTATTCATAACTTTAACCCGTTTAACTATTCGTCAGATTTCAAACGCGCAAACGTTCTGTTATAAATCACAGCTAATCTTCAACTAAAAGCTGCCCTAAAAATATTCTTTGTACTTAAATAAAACAGAACTAAATATATGTATGTATGTAATAAAAATTGAATGCTAAAACCAATAAGTTCGTTGCTGTACACGGCTGTGAAGCAGCAGGAATAAATAACTTGCACGAAAGCGGTTAAAGTTTGGTTGTGCAGGATAAATTTAGAAAACCGTGGTCAGCGTCTATTAAAAAATGAGAATCGTACATTTGCTTCTGTATGAGTAATGTATTTCCGAAAAGAGCTTTTTCGCTAGCCTAGAGCCTTAAGGCCTCAACCTTAT